GATAGGGCCATAGTTGATCAGAGTTAGAGAGGTGCGCAAAGTTGGTGGGGTGGCCCGCTCGCTTGTATGGCCCGCTCGCTTGTAAAACACGTTACACAAAGACAATCAAAGTCGAGACATGATCTGATCTAGTATCCGAGTAAAATTGAAAATATTGGCCTACGTGGAATGAAGATTTTGTTCATTACCGTTGAGAAGATGGCTTAAGCACTATCGTAGCCCTCTTACGTGCTACAGCCATTTACCGGGTAACCAAACCCCTCACCCTACCAGGTATATACGATAGAGTGCTGTGAGGCTTACGGTGCGGATCACATCACCCCATTTCCTCATAGGAACCACACGTTTCTTCCATTTGTCAATCATGTTCGAGTCCAGAGCGCAGCACCAGTATCGGAAGCCTGTTCCCTAGATGGTGAATCGATTAATCGTGATAACAGACATAGTAGGTAGTGCATTTCAGATGAGGAGTAACTCTTTAGATATTATTAGTAGTATGATTGGGTGCGATTATTAGAATGCACTGGCTCTGGTTTGGGCACTAGTAATTAATCTGATGGGTAGTATATCGATGGCCTACAAGGTCCATATCAAAACAACTGATCCGCATAGACATATAGCATACCTTCAAATTAATATCGATGTATTTCCACCTCACGAAGTATGCGTAGAGCTGGTTCATGCAGATGTTCTACGTTCCGAGGGGGCGCTCGCATACCTGACCAACCATGACGTCAAGACATCGCGCCCATCAAAAGTAGCAATATCCTCATAGACTGTACGTTCCATGTTAATCCAATATCAAAATCAATAGAAATGACTCTCCCAGTAACAGGCAAATCCGGCAAGGACACCCTCGGCGCACGCCTCGAAAACGACTACGAGAAACGACCCGACCCCGTCTCACTAACCCAGAATCCCGATCCTTCGCAAAACACCTCCTCAGGCGTGGACTACGAACCGCATCCTGAAAACTCGATCAAACTAGAGCCTGAGAGGGAGAAAATCGTACAATCCATATGCAACTTGTACTCTGGAAGTGCGAGCAAAGATGATATGATGGTGTACGCCAAAGAAGCTGTATACGACGACCCGTGGAGTTATTGCGACACAAGATACAAGATTGCGGGCCAGTGGTATGGTATGTAGCTTGCCAACCTTCCACCCTATACACTGTAATGAAGATGGGAAAGCTTTATTGACGTGTGATAGGCATACCCATCCTCATGAAAAGCAGCTGGACTATCAAGACAGAAGTCGTTTCATCCAAACCCGATGAGATTATCTTCAAGCTGCAGCAGGAGTATACGCCGAAGCCTGTGCCTGTTGCCAAGAAGGTTAATAGTTTGGTTACGTTGACGCTTGATGAGGAGGGTAAGGTGAGGTATCACAAGGTATGTTTGAACTGTTGATTTTACAGAGCCGATGCAGTTTGTGGGTGTTGGTGATAGAAGGTAGTTACTGACTGTGAGCAGGATATGTGGAACGAGAAAGACTATAGCCATGAGGGTCTAGGCAAGATTTTGAAGGAGTTGAATGGGGATCATTTGACGAAGATCACGCGACCCCCGGAAGATCTTTGAGGAAGAGATGGTGATGGATGGGTGATTATTTTGATGATGTTTCGTATTGTCGTGAAATTTGTTATTGGCGTACTGTCAAACGTTGATGTGGGTAGAAAAGCAACTACATCTTAATTTTTAGTTTTTTTTTGAGTCATCTCCGAGACCGTCAGTGCATTAGCGCCGATTGGTTTTGAGTCGCGTTTTTTGTATTTGAATGTTCACCACGGTTGTATGTTTGTTTCAGACACTTAAATGACCAACGTACGTCTCTTTGCGCCGAAACAACTGGTGTGGAAGAACCTTACAATCTTACCGCTTGAAAGAGGTGACATTCATAGAAACGACGTTGATGCCTTCCAGCCTTGAAAATCGCTCAAACCTCTAACCTTCTGATGTCACTTTGTGACTTGCCTCCAAGCTTCCAAGGGCAGATTCCTGCTACTATTCTGCACAGTACCGAGGTACGAGGTCTTAAGGGTTCGTCTCGTTATCCTAGTTAGTGCAGTCTGTTAGCGGGTGTCCAGTATACAGATGACTGGTACTAACCCATTTTGGAAATGGCGTGAAGGTATGCTTGTCCCCAAGGTATGTCAGGGAGCCTTCATATCTGTTCAGTTCCAACAACCCCAGATATGTCAGCGAACCTGCATCGGACCATGTCATGTTGTCCATTATCATTCGTACGAGATCAATGTCAACCTTGAGCTGCTGGAAAAGAACAAGCAGTTCCAGCCAAGATGTCAGGTACTGTCTATCGCGGTCTTCGTAACAATGGTAACGGTGCTTCTCCAACGTCTTCTGGACCCCCTTTTCAATCATCTCATCGATATGCTCAAGAAACAATTCGATATCGTGTGTCTTTGGCAGGCCTCCGGAGCATGTGAGGTAGTACTCGGCTACCTCATATAATATCCATAGGCGTGGCCTAAAAGGCGGGTAAAAGTATATGAAGGCAGCGTTGCGGATGATGCCTGACATGGTCCGCAGGCCGTGATGGAAGTACGTTTCTTCTGACGGTGATCGTGGATGTTGAGGCAGGCATGTCCAGTCCACCCAGATGTATGACCATGTTTGCGCCTTCAGTTCAGCTTGGTGAAGGCGTAGGGTCTGCCCATCTGGATCGGGATTCTTCCTGTCGCGCCAGAAATGACTGACGAAAAAGCAATCTGTCCGCCAAACATAGCCGCGCGCGGCAGGTATGAGAACATAGTCATCTAAGACTTCGCTGGACCACTTCCTGAAGCGCCTTTGCGACATGAAAGCACCTCGTCTTTGGAAGAACCAAAAAGTGACGGAATTGGGACTCTCAGCAAGAAAGTCGTCCAAGGAGTGATATCCGCTTAACAATTCCTTATGGAGGTCTTTGGAGTCCGGCTGCTCATCAGGTACGAGATCATTCCAAGCGGCGATACTCCGACGCACAAGAGAAGACCATGCGGAATCTTTTGTGGGCGTCACACGCGGGAGAGCCACTGATTTCGACATTGTGTGTAGAGTTGAAGCAACTCTCGAAGTAAAGGTAGTGTTGGGGACACTAGATGTGTTACTCTGGGGATTTGGGCAGTTTTTAGGCTAATAGAGCAGACTGTTCAAGCCCTGACACATGTATTGAGCTGATTGGGTGAGGATTAGGCGCTGGAGCCTAGAAGGATGGGTTGCTGTAACACAAGATCATGTGACGAAGTGCTCACATGAGCGAGGACAGTCGACCTCCTGCTGTTAGAAAAGTCAGACCTGAGTGACCCTATTGAATCTCTTCATGGGTATGGAAGCAATATACATCGCAACGGACAATAGCGACGGCGGTGGCCTTGAAAATGGCGAGATTTAGTATGGGGATAAAATAGGTGTCTTTGCATACATAGAGGGAAGCTGGTTATACCCCTGTGATTTTTATGTTAATAAGTATTCATGAATCTAAAATCGGCCCTAGTGTACATCTAAGTGATCAAAAGCAAGTGTTATGTTACCCATTACCTACGATATTACAATGAAGTGAAGGTACTTATAATTTTGTCCGTCACGGTGGTTGTTCCGCCAGAAAGGGGTTCACGTTAGTTGAGAGAGGCGATTCTGGATTAATCACAATACCATGGCTCTGGGAAGTTGAAACTTAAATTCTCATACAAGTACCTTGGGTAGAATGCCCTTGAATATTAAATGGTAAATGCTGTTAATCTTCTCCACTTGGACATTGAGATATGCCCTCAATACTCAAGACATGTGTTTGATTACACCATATTAGCTCAGGCTTATATTCAAGAATCGAGCGTCTCTATCCTCGAGATGGCGCTACTGAAACTGTGTTTGAAGAACAAAAGCTTTTGCATAGTGTTTGCTAGAATGCGTATTAAATTCCACATACAACAACTAAGCACTCTGAATGCATTGAGTCAATCCACCCCAGTTATCCTTACACCACGGAGCCAATACTATGGCCCTTTGGGCATCTCCAACATCTCCAGTACTATTCATTGCACCAGCCAAGCCAGCAGCACCAAGCGAGCCTTTAGGAGGCGCATTGTGCATTGCCGTTTCTCTTGCAAGTGTACTGGCGAATTCATTACCGCCGGTGGCATCTGCGAGCTCCGCCCAACCAGTATGCTTGAAAGGCGCTAGCATGACGCTTCGACGTGCCTCGTCGAGTTCTTGCTCCTCGCCACCGAGACTGATGGATATAGCTTCCATGACCTTTTCTACCCGCGCCAGCTGGTGGTCACTGAGATCCTTGTTTGTGCGCATGCGATTGAGGTCGTCCTTGATAGCTTCCATGGTTTCGAGATCATCGTCGAGAACTGTCATGGCGCCAATGAGGGTCAGTAAACCCACATGACCGTCATGTTTCTCAATGGCAGCGAAGAGCTGATCACGAGCTACTTGCTTCTCATTTTTACCGCCTTTGGCCCAGAGAACCTCGGCCAAGATACAAATAATGTCAGGATTTGCACCAGTTGTTTCTAGGGCTCTGCGGAAATATGCTATCGCTGCGTCAAAGGAGCCGTAGAAGTAATGTGCGAGACCAGCTGTGAGACGGGCGGATAGTTTGGTCTTTGCAATCTGGTCTTTAGACAGAGCAGTCTGTTTGGAATCGCCTTGAATCTCTGAGAGAAGATCGAGAGCAGTTTCGGCATCTTCTACTGCCATTTCGTCGGATCCAGTGGCGAGAAGGTTGCGGGCCAAATCCGTCTTGGCTTGGGCCACCCGAGCCAGTGACTTCATCGACTCAGTCTTCTCGTATTCCTGCTCGACGGTCTCATTGACCATATCCAAAGCAGTCACAGCCGCATCATAATTGCCTACACGCTCCAAGAACAACGCCGCAAGATGTTTGTGCGGGATATCATATGGCGCTTGTATACTTAATTGTTGGAGCGCAAAGAGCGGCTGTATGAGGCTTGTGATATCACTTGAAGTCGACGGGGAAGAAACTAGGAAGTCAAACGCTGAAACCGCATACTGTCGCTTGGTGAGGAGTAGCGACGACTCTGAGAGTTCAAACGCGTGAGTAAAGTGGGATAGCGCTTCGTTGGAATCGCCAGTAAGTAGTGCAATGATGCCCTCGCCTACCCATGCTAGAGAGTAATCGGGGTCTTGCGACTGTGCCCTCGAGAAGGCTGCATGAGCGAGCTCGGTATCATTCTGGAGCAGATAGAGCGCCCCGAGGTTAGTCCAGGTGTGCACACTTCGCTCGTTTAGATGCAACGACCGGACGAAAGCATGTTGAGCGACCTTTGGGCTTAATGTTGTCGTAATTACACCAAGCGAGTTCCAGAACTCAGAGTTACCAGCCTCAAGCTCAATCGCACGCTTGAAGCACTTCATAGCTGCTCGAAGATATGTCGTTAGTTTAGTGTCCTCGCCAGATTCTTGCTCTAGGCAAACGTGAGCTCTGTACTCGGTCCAGCCAAGATTGTACCAAGCTACTGCCTGTGCGTGTATGTCGTGTGCACAGCTTACGATTGCTCTCTTTTGAGCCAGAATCGCAGCCTTGAGGACTTTTGTCAGGATCGAATCCCTGTTCGTGGAAAGTGAAGCCAGCTCTGCCTGACCAAGCCCATCAATGTCTTTGTGCGCATCGAAGTCAAGGTCCATGTCTGACTTGCTTTGCAGAACCTTGACAACCAGCTCGAATGGACATTGATCAAGCTTGTCTTGAACCCAGCTAAATATACTGCAAGCATCACCGACTGCCTTCCACAGGTTGAAGGCGTCAGGCTTGTATTCTGTAATGGTGTCGGCAACTTCGATACCTCGAGTTACACTGTCGGCAGCCTCTCCAAAGAAACCAGTCTCGACACAATGCCATGCTTTTTCAACAAGTGTCTGCAGTAATGCGATGGATACGCCAAACTCTTTCGGTCGTACTGCGAGTACCGCTTCGTAACCAGCGAGGGCTTCGTCAAATTCGCTTAGTTCGCGATTGACGTTGGCCAACATGTACTTTGTGAACCATCCCTCCTCGTCTGATCTCTTCATTACCACGCCATCTGTGGGGTTCTCGGCATAGTTGAAAGCACGAGAGGCCGAGTTGTATCGTCCAGAATTATGATAGCTCTCACCAAGACCGACGTAGGAGTAGTAGTCGTCTGGATTGATGCGCAATGCTGAAAGAAATGATACTATGCTCTTTTGGTATTCTTGCTTGTTCATTTGGACCACGCCGAGAGCTGAGTATGGCCAACTGATGCCCTTTCGCTTCGAACCAGGTGTTTGCCGGGCCTTGCCAGAGTCCACTACTCGCTGAGCGATAACTTCAACGATGTCCCATTCTCCTTGGTTGGCGAAAAGACGGGCTAATCGCTCGGCTGCCACAATCTCAGAAGGTGACAGTTCAAAAGCCTTTTGGAAACACTGCCTGGCGCGCTTGCGGTCTTTGTTGTAGTCCTCATAGAATATACCGAGGAGTGTGTATGCAGGGGCATAATTTGGATTTGCTTTGATAGCTGCAAGTAGCTTGGCATATGTCCTTTGTCGATCTTTTCGCGCGGCTTTTGAGTGATCGAGTTCCCATAGACAAACACCCATCCTATAGAGGGTCTGTGCTCGAAGCTCACGGCCACGTTGCTTGGTTGCATCGAGTTGGGGATAATCAAGATACTGTTGTAGCCTTTCCAATCCAGTCTTGTAGTCCCCAGCCAAAGCCTGACACCAGGCTGACTCCGCACCGATGCGGCCATTTGAGGGATCTTGTTGCAATGCCTGCTCTAGAAATTGGAAAGCCTTCTCGTATTCTTCCTCTTCTTCTAGGACCAGTCCAATGCCAATGAGTGCGGAGGTGAACTGAGGTTTGCGTTTCAAAATGGATTCGAAAATACCTTTGGCTTCCAAGTGGTTTCTTGGTGCTTGGTAGTAGACCAAAGCAGTGGCGAGAGTGCTGCTCAGAGCATCACGTGTCTTTTGGAACGACAAATCAGTCTTTTTGGCCTCCGCAGCCGCGTACTTGAGACCTTTTCTGGTAGTCTCGACTGCACTCTCATACTCCTCAAGGAACAGGTAATAATCTCCGAGAAGGCAGTGAGCTAGGGGAGACTTTGGAGCTTCGCTAAGACCTTCGGTCATCAACACCAGGCAATCTTCCTGTGAGACTGGAACATCTTGGGTAAGGGCTACCCCGCCTTCACTCAAGTCCGGCCCTTCTTTTGAATCGCTCTCTGTAGTGAGCGGGTATTTTGCTATGCCACTGCTGAGCCAGCCTATGATGACTTTTGATAGACCCTCGTTCGGGAATACCTCGATGAATTGCCGTAATGTTGAGATGTCCAGATCCAGCAAGTCATGTGCGCTGTCTGTGTGTGACGCCATGACGGCGGCTTGATGGTATTGCTACTCGGTCAATGCAATAAAGGCCGCACACGTGAGATTTCGACGGAAGAGTACTGAGGGAAGATGATTTTCCAGCTGCCAACGCAGAATGATGGTCTTTGTTGGACTGATCGAAGTCGGGATTAACGCGCCAAAGTGCCGTGCGGCATTGGATCTCGCGCGCCCCACCTACGTACACATGCAACTCAACCCTCCATGGCGCATTCATAGCAAGCATCCCGTCGTACAGACGGCCGGTTCGTCAACACCTAGATTCGTACTGACGCCATGTCTACGAAGACGGCGCTCAAAGCTGCCAAAGCTGCAATTGGCGCAAAGGACTGGGAGGAAGCGAAGAACCAGGCCAAAGCAGTAATTGACAAAGACCCAGACAACTACTTTGCGTATCTGTTCCTGGGCCGTGCAAACGATGGACTAAGCAAATTCGATGAGGCCGCAAAAGCCTACTACAAAGCGACTAAGATCAAGCCTGAAGATCCCCAGGCATGGCTGGGTTTGAGGGCCATGTACGAGGGGCTCAAGGGCGCAAAGGTGGACGAGAACATTGACGTTGGTCTGGCACTGGCACAAATATACATGGAACTGTACGTTCGAATTACTTCACAAAGTGAAAGAGCACGCACTAACAAAACTCCAGCGACGACGCCAACAAATCCCAATCCGCAATCGACAAGCTCGTCGACCATGCCCGCGCCCACGGCACAAAAATGCAATACGCCCGCGCCCTCAGCACACAACTACCCTCTTCCCCCGTATACACCTACCTCGAAGGCCGCCTCACTGACCCCGCAAAAGTATACAATCGTATCGCCGAAATTCACGAGGCACACGACGCTGCAACCATCAAGCGCCTCGTCGAAGAGCGCCGCCTCCGCGTCGGCGCAACACTTGAAGGCACTACCGCTGCTGTCAAGAATGAAGTCTACGCCGCGAGCCCGCTGGAAGATATATACGAACAAGCTATCAATTGGACGCGGGATGATGAGCTGCGAAGGGAGTACGAAGAGAAGCTCCTAGCGAGAGCCTACGACACGCTCATGGTTCTCGCCGCAGGCCAGAAAGCAGAGAAGAGGGAGAAAGTTATGCGCCTGGCGCACGACATGGTCGTAATCAAGCACCCAAACCTACTAGCCTGGACCATCGAATTAGAATGGCGATCAGGCATGGAAATCGAAGCGCATTAAGCACGTTGTGAGGGAAAGCATATTCTAGCGTTTTTTCGGGAGCTCAATCAAGATCCATTACTATCCTCACAACTGAGAGGCGGTTTAAACTCCTTTAGTAGTACTTGTCTCCCTTCCAACCCAAAAATAAATAAATCGCGTCCCAAACTCCGTTCATTACTCCCCCCCCTCTCTCTTTCTCTCTCTCTCACTCAGACTTTACTAGCAGCACCAACAACCCTCCTCCTCTCCTCCCCACTAAACAACGTCTCCCCTTGCTTCAACGCATGAATAAGCATCGGCACGCTGCTCGCTTTGAAATCAGGTGCTTCGCGTACTTTATCGAGATCATCTGCGAATTCTGCGGCGATCTTGCGCAGGTAGAGGGCGCTGAAGTCGTCTTGGGTTGTTTTGCTAGCCTGGCTGGCCTGACTTGCAGAAGGATTTGCGGCTGATGGTTGAGAAGAACTAGGAGGAGAAGGAGGAGGAGCATCTTCCATTGCTATATCTGTATCCGGTGCCGAGGAGGTTGATTTGGATTTCTTGTTTGATTCCTTGGGTGCAACGGCATCGGGTGATTTTTCCTTGTTCTGTTGCTTCTGTGTCAATTATAGGTTCGGTATCTTGAATTGAATTGAAGAAGAAGATGGCGTACGCTTATGTCGCGGGATACAGGTGTACCACTCTTCTCGCTGGCGACATCGCTGTCGCTTTCGCTCGAGGACGAGACTGGTTGCGCATAGCATTAGCGGTCATGCGTTTTTCCAGCTTTGCGTCTGTAGATATTTAATGTTACCTTCTGTTCTTATCCTTCGCTTCTTCGCACGTTTCTTCTTTTCTACACCGTTTGGTCCTTTTTGAGCCGTCATTGTATATATTGTATGTATAGGGTATTTCGTTGGCGATTGGGGGAAAAAAAGTTCGAGACGTGAATGTTCGCGTTATCGATAGGGCACGTGCCAGCGCGCTAAATCAAGGGTCTCTGCATGGATTTGTCCCAAATCGCCATCGGTCTAACTATTATGAACATCACGTCATTAGTTGATGAATGCTCATGTTTGGTAGCCTTCTTAGATCATTATGTAGCCGCCAATGAAACATGTACTGATTGAAGCTAATCTACAAGCCATTCTCTATCGCAGCCAATTCCTCCATCGTATTCTTGACACTCGTCTTGAGCGCCTCACTAACCGGCATATACGGCCGTCTAGGAGCCAACCTCTCCTCCGCACCTTCAATCCCCGCCGCCTTCGCACTATACTGACTAACTGCGTACTTTGTCGGCGCAATCCCAGCCTTAATCGGGCTCTCCGCCAGCGCAGCCTTACGATGCAACTCCAGCGCCTCTTGCGTCTTGCCACTCGTATACCACTCGTATATCTTCGAGCAGACTTTAGGAAAAACGTTACTAAACGCCGACACGCATCCCGCGCTTCCAACAGCCAAGCCAGCAATCATCCAGTCTGCCTGTCCTGCAAACGTCGAAAACATGTCGCTCGGGAGCTCAGCACAGAGCCGCGTAATCTTAGCTACACTCCCGCACGTCAACTTGACGCCCACAATCTTGCCTGGGTTCTGCTGCGCAAGCGCGGCAATAGTAACGGAATCGAGATCCACACCACTGCAGATACCCGGGAAATTGTAAATGACAATGGGCAACGAGCTCTTTTGCGCGACTTCGTTGTAAAATGCCATGACGACTTCTTTGGATGTGGCAGGCCCGTAGTACGCTGCTGGCAACAGTAATCCGTAGTTTGCGCCCGCCTCGATTGCGTCGCTAATGTTCTCTAGCACCTGGGGGACAGAGAAGCCAGAAATGCCGACCATGAGGGGATAATCTGGTCCGACGGCTTCGCGGGCGCATTTCATGAGTGCTCTCTTTTCGTCTCGTGTGAGTAAAAAGGCTTCTGCATTGGATCCGAGGATGACGAGTCCCGTAAGCCCGGACTTGGAGAGGTAACTGAAGTATTGCTTTTGTGCGACGAGGTCTAGGGTCGCTGTCTCGCTGTCTGGGGTGAAGAAGGTGACTGCGGGGCACCAAACGCCTGGTGCTGGTGGAGGCGCCATTGTGATGTTGCCTGTCGAGGTCGATGTGTGTTGATGACGAGAAATTGAGTGGTGCTGCTAATACAACAACGTGGAGATATTGATGAAGAAGCGATGACTGTAATCCAACTGATCTCAACAAGAAAACATACGGCGTGTTGTCCTGAAGCCGATCTTCACAAAGTGGGATCCTCATGCAATGTCGGGCGTCGTTCCGAGACCCTTCAATAGCCGGATTGAGTATTCCGATTGTTCCGAAGCCAATCGCCGCGGTATCTGTTGAACTTCGTTATCGCTTTGCATCTGTAAGATAGTTACTTGAGAAATACAACGCATGCAATTTGTTCCCTTCATTATGATCATCACCTTCCAGGTCTACTCCAGGTCTACTAAAAATGGATATTTCCCGCAACCAAGACAAAGTTTCCCACCGGCATCCTGTTTTGTTTAGAGAGGTGAGAAAGACAGAGACGGGCAGCAGAAGGACTTGTTGGCATTATGGCTTGATGCAAAATTGCTTCGGACAGGACTCCACACAGAAACTACATCTTACAAATGACTCTCCTGATCAAACAATAAGGTCTCGCATTCCATAAAGCTGCGACTGCTGAGCCCCATGAACTCAATATCCATGCTATGCATACCCGTACCCCATACCCCGCTGTCCATTCATCCCATGGTATCATTCCCCTGTCTTTCCGGTTTTTTTCCCACCTCCCCCCAAGACCATTAGCATTATCGCTCTATCTTACTGCCCCCCAAACATATCAGCAACGCCTGCAAGACCCGGGCTCGTTCCACGAACAATGGCTGGCTGCTGATCAACAGTCATGTATTGTTCCATCATCGCCGTCCTAGACTTTGCCTTTGGCCGCTGGATTTTACCTTGCTCATGGATACTTACACCCTTGATACTACTGAGCAGATCCAAGACGATGCTCCTCTGCATCCTCTCATCCTGACGGTTCGCACTTTGGAGTTTTGCGAGCCGGCGGTCGACACGAGCTTCGTCACCCATGCCAGGCAATGAAAGGATGATGGAGCGCGGAATCTCATCGTCGAGATGGATGATACCTGCAATCAGAGACGCAAGTTCCTTCTGGCAATCAACAAAGTATGGTTCGTGTAGCGATGTGATGGCAGATTTCAGAATGTCATTGCAGAAATAATCCCGGATCGGAGACTTTTCCTTGAAGCGTGGAAGAAGCGTCCGCATGACACGCACAATAGTGATGACAGATCGAGTGTCTCTTACACGGATGGTAGAGTTGCAGAAGAGGAGAATCGGCTCCAAGACTGAAGGTGTAGTGAGAATGAAATCACACATTGGTGGCGCATTGGCTTCCTTGCGACTTTGATCATCTTGCCGAGCAAACTCTGTGTGTATATGTTAGCACCAAGTTCTCTAATTTCAAGAAGCGGAAACAAGTAACCACAGTAGTGAAAAACCCTATACTATTGGTACTTCGACCGCCCGTCCCACGCCTGCTCAGAAATGAAATCAAACTTACCCTGCCGTGAATCAAGCAGGACGGCGACAAGCGAGACCGAAGAGTATGTAAGCTGACGAAGGATACTTTCGGTCTTCATCTCATCTGTCAAGTTGTCATTATCCCCTGATTCCGCCACTTGGCGAGCAATCTCGCTCCATTCCCCAGAGATCTTCCTGTCTAGTTCCCTGAATAGCCCTTGAATCATAGGCGGTAGAAACTGTGACCGTAACTGTGACGGACACCCCTCGATAAGATGCGTAGATACCGTAAGCAGAACGGACAAGTGATGTGCGGTCAAGGCACCAGCGTGCCCAAAGAGAGCTTGGCTGAGCGGTCCCGGTAAGTCTTGTATGCCATAGAAGAAGTCTCGAAATCTTGTCAACGAGTAGAGTATGTAGTAAGAACTCTCTCTGATTTGTCGGACAGTGCCTCGAACGGTTGACGCGAAACCTTCGTAGGTGGACTTGGAGCCACTGACCTTAGCGAAGAAGTCATCTCTGCTTTCCGTTGAGATGCCCGCTTGCCAGAACCGATCAGTCAGAACACGTCGAATGACCTGTTGCAGTTCGATCGGCAGGTGTGACCAGTTGCTGTCAATGTCGTTAAATGCTTGCGCATGGCTCACGAGCTGGAGAAGATTGGGAAGTAGCACAGGTATCGTCTCTGCCCACAGTGCTGCAGCAGTCTCATATGCAGCAGTACCGTCTCGCAACTTCTCAGTCGATGCTGCAAGTAGCGTCTTAGTCAGTCGCAGAGGCAGTTGTTGAGATCGCTCAAGGATTGAAGCTTGCAACGCTTGACCATCACTAGGCAATTGTTGTTCAGACCAATCCTGCACGCCGCGAAAATTGTTGGCAGACAGGAATTCGGGTAATTGGCCCATGCCCAGGACGTCGCAGAAAGACTGGAACGAAGAGATGGCTTTAGTAAACTCATCATTCTGCCATGCCTCCTTGACGCGGTTCAACATCTGTCTCATGCGCTCTGTTTGAATGGTGTGGTCTAACGTTGTACACCTGTGTATGATGATGAAAAGGAAAGCAGAGTATGCCATTCGTTGGCGTTCGTCAGTCGTGGGGTCATTGATCATCTCATTGATCTTTGCTTCTAATTGCTCGTAGACGTTCATAAAATCATCGGCGAACTTCATGGCTAGTTTCTGCATCTCCAAGCTGCATATGCGCTCTAGGTCCTTTACTGCTTCCGAGTACTGAGCATAGCTGGTGTCATCCGCTAGACGTATGGTAAGCATGTACTCAAGGAAAGTTAGCGCAAAGCCAGGCCGGTCGCCAAGTGACTTCGTGGCAAGGGTGGCCATGAGCGATATGATCTTTCTTGCAACCTCAGGATCATCGAATTGCGCTTGCAGAATCTGACGGCCCCATTGCTCTAGTGAGTCCTCTAGAACACTTCGCGTTCGCTCATCGGCTTGGGCATCCTCGCCTTGACTTTGTTGCCATTTCATGTAGCCTTTGAGAGCAGCCTCAATAACCGTAACTTGGGCGTCGACCTGAAGGACTTGGGGCGAGTTTTTGCTAAATGTCTGTGGTTGAAAAGAGGGACGGTCGCGGTACAGGTTTTGCAACATGTTGGTTGCTTGAGCAAGGATATGCTCCATAGCCTCAATCGGCGTCTTGCGCACAAGTACTTCGATTACATCTGCGCAGAATCTCCTATAATTGCCTAGGAAGGCATGTCGTTCGGGAACAGTGTCAATGTCTTCATTCAAAAATTGCAACGTCACGTCTTCGGCATCTTCAGGAAGGGCCTCGTAGCGGATCAATCGCGCACAACATGTCTCGAGCAGACCTCCAACCATGGAGTTCACGACGTCAGACTCGCGGACAACGCTCGATCGCAGTAGCTTAGTCCAACAGTGAAGGACGGGTATGGAAACGACAAGACTTGGGTTGCGCATAATGTCGTACAGAAAACCAAATACACCGGCGAGATCGCTGTTCTCTGGAATAGATTGGGGCTTTTGTTCAATGAACAGACCAAGGTTGTTTGCCAACTGCGGTCGTTAGTCATGGACACAGGGTTGATTAAGATGGTGATTCTCACCTCAGACAGCCTCTTGCAAAGCATATATTTCTGGTCATCGATGTCATTGACGTCCATGTCCACGAGTGTCCAATTGTATACTTCCCGAAGGAGCGAGACGCTGCCTGGTGTAAACATGGGGCATACTAGCTCCACAAACTCGTCATCGTGTAAGTGCGTTCGGTTGTATATAGCCTGTAGGGTTTCGACTGCAGCCTGGTTCATGTTAGCGACGGGGTTCTCGTGTTGGCTTGAGTCGCCATACAATTTGTATCTCGACTGCTGGTGTGGCTAGAGCCTTGCAGACAGCCTCGATGACCTGAGTGGCCGCAATGGCTTTGGGCATGACCCATGGCATGGCGGCTCTAAGCGCATGCATGGATTTGACAGCACTGGCTTTGACGTTTTCCTGGTTCTGGTAGTCCTGTCCCAAGCACCAATCCAGGTTTTTGCATAGCCTCGTCAACCAACCTTCGTCTCCGCACCGCAAATCAGGACCTTTTTCCCTAGTAGGAAGCTGCTCTTGTATAACAATTTGAGGCGTGAAGATCTCGACACAGGCCCGCCCCAGGTCGGTGCCTCGCAGGCCAGCGGTAGCATCTTCGCGATTGAAGACCTCTTCGGAGAGGGTTTCGAGGACATAAAGTACTATGGCCTGGTGGTGTAATGAGTTTGTCCAGAGGGCTACTAATTGCTCATCCATGTCTAACCACTCTGCGCCCCAGCTGCGTTTGGCAATCTCTGTCCATAATTGGGCAATCTTGTTCCGAATGTAGACAGGGTCGGTCTCCGTTACGTTCTGCGCAAGCTCGATGGCATAGCCTCTCAGCGCGGTACCTTGGTCCACGGTGTAGTCCTCCCAGCCATACTTGATGGAGTGCTCAAGCATGGTGAGGCCATAGTAGCGCAGTTGCGCAGGCTGCGAGCGGTCGAGGGCGAGCGTATGGCCGTGTGATGGGGCTTCGGGGTGACGCTTTGCTTGCTCGAGGTATTCGGTGGCCTGTCGGCGGGTTTCGTTGCTCGAGGTCGGGGCATAGATGGCCTGCAGTGCCTCTAGAACCTGCGAGAGGTCTGAATGGGCATTGTCGTGGTGATGCGCTCCGCTGCCGCCATTTGCTAGACTTGTTTGCGGGGCTTGGTCGTCAACCCCAGCATTCATCGTGGACAGGCAGCTTCTCTGGCCGCGGCGTATGGGCGTGTGGCGTCAGGTGTGCGGAGTGGGTGGCGGAGAGGCGTGCGCGCGATGGAGGTGAGAATTGTCGACTTGGGGGATTCTTTTGGTCCTCACTGGTGTTTCGGGCGGAGGTTTCTGAAAGCGGAAGATGCACAGCACAGGACAAGGATGGGGCTTTGACAAGCTTTGGCGCGCACCGTCTGCAACAAACCACTCAAGATGGCGGTGTAGCGTGCAATAAATAGGCCCAGGTCTATGGATCCGGCCGCTTGAGACGTGTGCTTGATCGTCTACGCCGTGTGAAAAAAACA